AGGGAAAAATTAGCATTAGATAATCTTCACAGCTGTGGGGAGGAAAGCCAGTCAGGGGACAGAAGCTATTAGAGCAAAGTGGCTGAGAAGGCCAGAAGTTTGGGAGCTGGGAAAGGGAACAACAATACATTTAAAAGTAGAGGTTGGGGGGCTGGAGTTGTAGCTCAGTGGTAGAGCTCTTGCCCAGCATGTGTGAGGCACTGGGTTTGATTCTTAGCACCACATATAAATAAATGAATAAAATAAAGGTCCATCAACATCTAAAAAATTTTTTTAAATAAAAAGTAGAGGTTGGTGGGACACAGGAATGATAAAGCTAGCCTGTCCTTCAGAGTTGACATTCTTGCTCAATGACCTCATTTCTTCCTATGTGTTGAAGGAACAGTTGACCCTTGGAAGTGAGGAAGAGGAAAGAGAGGTTGGAATCTTCTTTGAAATATTTGCTATAGGGAAAGAAAAAGGTTAGCTTGGGAGAATGTCAAAGGATTGCCAAACTGTAGGAGATCAGCCTCAAATTGAACACTAGAAATGTTGGCCCCCTCCAGAGCAAGAAGTAGCCACAGCCAGATTCCAGATTCCACCAATAAGGTTAGTCTAATAGAAGGTCAACGGGCAAGTGAAAGGAAATCCCTGAGGAGAGGGTAGTTGAAGCTACTGTCCACTCTCCACTATGTCCATTTGTGGTCAGAGTGGATAAGAGAAGTCAGGAAGGAATGTGAGAGTGTAGAGGTGAGGGGTGGGGAGTTGAGGCCTAGAGCTGGCCTGAAGCCAAGGACAGGCTTGGAAAGTAGAAAGATAACAGAGTGTCATTTTAGAGGTGATGGAAGACCTGGTGACAAGGTTCTAGTGGTGGGCATTTGATTGGATTACCAAAGGCTAGTAAGAGTGAAGGCCTTTGAGGGAATGAGGCCAAGGGACCTGCTGCTGGGGGATTGACTAAGTCATCAGAAGAGCTAGAATGATGGTGGGGGGCCAGAGCTTGGTGCAGCACAGTGGAACTTTATGTGAGTCAGTCATTGTTTTTAATAAGTTCAGGTGGAGGGTGGTGACAAATGTGATATAATGTCCTAATAGCTAATACATATTGAGGGTAAAAGCTGAGGCAGGAAAATCACAAGTTCTGGCAGCTTTTCCTGAGCACAGCCTCAGCAACTTAGCAAGACCTTGTCTCCAAAAAATCAAAAGGGATTCCTGGATTCAATCCCCAGTACCACAAAACCAACAAATAAATCAGGGGTAAGTATTGGGTAATGTAGTATGCTCTGGTCAAAACTTCGAAGGAGGATGGATTTATTAAATTATTAAATGTCCCTTTCACGGCTCCCAAACTTCTGGCCTTCTCAGCCATCTTGTTCTAATAGCTCTGTCCCCTGCCTGTTTCCCTCCCCACAGCTATGAAAAATATCTAATGTTAATTTTTCCCTAAGACATTTATCCTTCCCTTCACTACAATTTATTATTATTAAATTTATTATTAAATATTCCTTTGACATTTGTTAGCTTTGGGAGGGAGAAAGCTGAGTAGGAAGAAGAAAAGATGCAACTAAGTTAAAATACAAGTCATGTTCAAATTCATCCAAACCTTGGAGAGTATCTGGGGAGACTCCACTGTGCTCTGGCAGGGAACAGCTTCCCAGTAGGCTAAGTATGTTAACAGAAACCCAGCATTTTCCTACAGTAAGCATCCAGTTTACTCTGGGCCACCAGGAAGTTTGAAACAACTGGAAGGAGAGATGCTGCACAAGTAGCGCTTCATCAGTGCTCATGTTTAATGGCAAACACTGACTGCATTGTGCTCGATTATTCCTAATGGAGAACCAGAGCATGCACTCCTCTGGACTCTTCTAGCATCATGTACAAATCTCTAGCAAAGGATTTATGGCTGTTTTAATTTTTCTATCTTTCCTTCAGGCTTGAGAGATCGAGTCTCAAGGGCAGAGACTAGACCACATTAGTTTCTGAACCCTCAGCACCTGGCATAAAGCCTGGCATGGAGTAGTTAGTTGTTGCTTAAGTGCTTGTTGAATGAGCAACTATGACCTTCAGGATAATAAATAGAATGCCCCACTCCCTTTTACAAAGATGAAAGCTAGCCGGGCACAGTGGCACACATCCATGATTCCAGAGACTTCAGAGTCTGAAACAGACCACTAAGAAAGTTATTAGTGGGTAGAGTACAAAAGCAGAGAGATGCTAATTTTGTTATAGCTACACTAATCTAACCTCTGCAGGGGCCACATTAAAAAAAAAAACTGATGAGCTGGAGGATATACCTAGGGTAGCTAGGGCTACCATACCCACCGTTACATGAGAAATGGCCTAGAGGGAAAGTCCAATCCCACAATGTGCTATACAAGGCCTCCAGACTCAGTCTCTTCCATTTGTTCACTTCTGCACACTTGAATGACATGCATACTGCTATATGTTTATGCATACCATCCCCTCTATCTGGAATATTCTGCCAACAGTCTAGTTGGGGAGTACCTGTTTTCAAAATCTTTCTCAGTATTTACCTCCTTCCTTAAAAAAATTTTTTATTTATTTTTTAGTTGTAGGTGAACACAATATCTTTATGTGATGCTGAGAATTGAACTCATATGTGCTAGGCAAGCACTCTACCACTGAGCCACAACCCCAGCCCACCTCCTTCCTTTTAAGACTGTCCTACCCAGGGGCTGGAGTTGCAGCTCAGTAGTGGAGCTTTGGCCTAGCACATGCGGGGCACTGGGTTTGATCCTCAGCATCATATAAAAACAAATACATAAAATAAGGGTATGGTGTCCAACTACAATGAAAAATTTTTAAAAAAATTAAAAAAAAACTGTCTTAACAAAATTCCTAGACAGAGCTAGAATCCTAGTAACTGAGGCAAGAGGATTGCAAGTTCAATGTCAGCCTCAGCAACTAGTGAAACCCTGTCTCAAAATTAGAAAATAAAAAGGGGTGGGATGCAGTTTAGCAGCAGAGCACCCTGGGTTCAATCTCCAGGATTACAAGAAGGGAAATAAAATTTCCAGGCAGAATTACTTTCTTTTCTCTTTCTTATTTTTTCTTTCTTTTTTTTGGGGGGGGGCACTGGTAAAGCAACCAAGAGGGGCTCTACCACTGAGCTACATCCTTAGTCCTTTTTAAATTTTTTTAAATGTTGAGACAGGGTCTCTCTAAGTTGCTGGGGCTGATCTTGAACATGTGATCCTCCTGCCTCAGCCTCCTGAGTTGCTGGGATTACAGTCATACACAACCACACTCGGCTCTTTTCTAGTACTTTAATGTTCCCGTATACATAGTTTTGTAAGAGTATGTTTCACCCTGTGTTGTATTTTATTTATATGCCTGTCTCCCCTATTAGACTTAAGCTTCTTGCAGGCAGAGATCATGTGATCCCTGTTTCTAGCACAGCTGCCCTAGCCTGATACTCTCTTGATTTAAACAAATGAACCAAAACTTTTAGTGGTTTTCAAATGTTTGATGGACCACACTGTAGATGACTAAAGGGATGTTAATGCACATACCTTCAAAGACCCAAGAACAGGCTGAATGGAGGTATGTGATCAAGAGATGGATTTGGGCTCCTAGGAGAAAATACTTTAGTATTGGTCAGTTCTTAGATTCCACCAATAGAAGCCTAATTTGAAGTAGCTTGAGCAAAAGAGAGATTTTTTTTTGGCACTCAGATTCCAAGGAAAAGTTGAAATGCCAACCTGCAGGAAGGCCAAGGACAAAGCTGACGAATCCGGGAACACTTGCAACAAAGTACCTGAAAGCTTTCAGGACCCTGTGGTCCTCCCCTCTGCTGAAGACTTCCTTCTTCCTCAATGAAGATTGGCCTCCTCTATATAGTAGGAAGTATGGCTGCGGACAGGTTGAATCTCATAGCTTTCTACCACAGAGACACCAGCTTTCACTCCCAATTCCAGCAAAGAATGTTTTGATGGAGAACTTTCACAGACACAGTTTGGTGTCTGTGGTCAGGAAGATGGGGTACCATGAATAGCCTGGTTTGGGTCAAATGTCAGTTGGCTGAGCTCAGGGATGGAATGCCATTGGGAACCACGCAGAGGGGGAAAACAATTTCCAAAAGGAATGGGGATGTGGGTGCAACCTGGAGAACTGAGGGGTTGAACTCCTTTATTCCCACTTTCTAACCATTATATCCACTTAGCTCCAAACACTTTCTGGTTGCACTCAGCGATATAGGAAAAGGAAGGACCAGTAAAAAGATTATGGTTACTCCTAATATTCAGCACAGGTTTAGGCGGTGCTTAGCACTTCACTCTGGCAATTGTTGGATGAGAATTATTCTTCTGGGCTTTATTAGTCCTCAACCCATTTCCTGCCCCTGGTACTGGGAAATAAAGGCTGAAAGGGTGGAGGAGGTTCGATTACTCTAGAAGCATTTATTAAAGCCCCTGATTTATATTAGATCCTGGAAGAGATAGGGGAAGACACAAGACACACATCCAGAAGAGTTCCTGCCTCCAGGATGGGAGTCACCAATGGAGATGGTTGGGTCTGTGTAAGTGGACCAGCAGTCTAAAGGGTCATGAAGGTGGGGGTGGGGCTGCTGCCAACAAGAGGCCTGGATCTTAGACGGCCTTGGCTCCTGTGGATCTAGTTCAAGCTCCCAAGCAGCATGCCTGGCTCCCCATCCCCGGGGCGGTTTCTCGAAATCAGCTTCGGGAGGTTCCTCACTGGCAAAATCCGAAGGGAGCAAGAAAGGAGTGTGGACAGCAGCAGGGGTCGTGGGGTCTCCATTGAGGGGCCCATTCACAGTTCTGTTTCAAGCACAGCGCTTCCCTCCTCCCTGGGCTTTGCGCCACCACGCCAGTGCAGCTTGACAGCCGTCGTGGGTCAGTGGAGGGGTGGCCAAGGGACTGGGCGCCGGCCCCTCCAGGCATGCCGTGGCGGGCCGGCGGGGGAGGGACAGCAGCAGGTGACGGCGCGGTTTCGGGCTATAAATAGGGGAGCGTCGCGCGGGCTGCAGGGGCCGGCGGCGGGGCTGGAGGCCGGCTGGAGGGCGGGCAGGGCGACGGCGCCATGGGGTCGCGGAGGGTCCCCAGTCGCGGCTGGGGCCTGGGCGCGCGGGAGGGGACGGGTCCCGACGGCGAGGACGATGGGCCGGTGTGGATCCCCAGCCCGGCCAGCCGCAGCTACCTGCTCAGCGTGCGACCCGAGACCAGGTGAATAGCGCCCAGGGGCTGGGCAGCGCCGGGTAGGGCTCTCTGGGGCAGGCGAGGCTCAGGGTGCCGCCTGCGCCCCTGCTGGCTCGGGCTGCTCCTCCTTGGAGACCTGGGTGGGGCCCGCGCCCTTGAGCGCTCAGCTTAAAGCCTAAGGCTTGGAGACAGGGACAGGGACAGGCCAGAATGTCCCTCATGGCTTCTCCTGACCCCTCGAGGCTCAAGGGCCTCAGGCCTCTGGCAACTGAGAGGCCCAAGAGAGGAGCAAGGCCCTATTTGGGGGATTTCACAGGGCCTGAAGGTTTTCCTTATCTCCCCACCCCACACCCGGCTACTCCCTGGGACTGGATTCCAGAGCTAGCGATAAGGAAAGTCAGAGTGGCTGAAATTCCTCCCTGCTGGTAGGGAGGGGGAGCGCACTGGTGGCAGGGGAGAGGGACGGGGGACTGCCCTGAATGGGACCTGATTAGCTCAGGGTGGGGGACATAGACCAGGAAGAAAGAAACCTTGTAATAAGTAAGGGTCCTCCTCTGGGCCCAAGGCATTGGTCTTCTTCCCAGGGTCTATATCAGGGCTGGTGAGATGAAGGGGTGGAATCAAGGCCTGGTTCCTATCTGGGATACCAGGGATTGAGGACCTGAAGCTCTGAGGGAGCCAATTGTCCTGCCCTGTTGGGGGTGGGGGTGAGGTGCCAGAGAGGGGTGGAACTGATGAGCCCTTCACTGGTCTTCCCAGAGGTAAAGAGTATGGAGACTTTGTTTTAGGAGGAGGCTGCCCACAGATATACAGACACACAGACAACTGACAAGCATACAGGCACTGAGAAGGATACATGTATTGTCAGGAGACAGACACTTCCTGCCCATTCTGGGCAACTAAGTTTCCTTTCACTCTGGAGCCTGTTTTCAAAGGGGAATGTGATGGTTTGGCTATTGGGATAGTGTTGTTTCCTGCTCAGAATTTGTTGTGACCATTTGACGTGCTTTATGCAGAAAATAGACTTTACTGTGAGACACTGTCTAGAGATCTGTTATTCTCCCTTCATTAAACAGCATAAAAACAGACATCAAGGACGTTCGGGAAAAGTCCTGGGCACTTCCTCTAGGATTGGCTGAGTCCTATTGACCTTGGAGTTGGAAAAGTTCAAATGTAACCGGAACCTGTTTCTGCATAAAACACGTCAAATGGTGTCACATGTCTGGGGCAGGGCTGAGGGCTCCTGTTAGTGACTGAGTCAGACTTGAGAAGGTCCCTGGCTGCCAGGAAAAAATGCCCCTTCCTCTTAAGTACTGTCTCTACTTAAACATGGGAATGAAATGTGGTCATTTGTTCTGGTCTTTAATGAAGGGCACTCCCTGTGGGGGCCTCACATTTGTCACAGTGACTTGTCTGGGCTTTTAAAATATTTTTGTTTTTAGTAATGGGGATTGAACCCAGAGGTGCTCTACCACTGAGCCACATCTCCAGCCCTTTTTATTATTTTTTTTTAATTTTGATATAGGTTTCCCTAAATTGCCCAGGCTGGTTTCGAATTTAAGATCTCCTGCCTCAGCCTCCAGAGGCACTGGGATATAGGTGTGCACTACCATACCTGGCTTATCTGGGGTCTGTCACCTGCTTCTGGCCTTGTCCAATACCAGTGCAACAAGGAGAAAGAAAGCAGGATTCTTCTTAGAGCAGTGATAAGGAAGAGAAGGAAAGGTGGTTCAAAATCCAGTGGATTGGGGAAGACTGTTAGGAACAAGGCTGGAGAGTGGACGCAGTGCTACTGTCTGGCTGAGCAGTTGTGTGATGGACATTTTCATTGCATATTTGATGTACTCAAAATAGTGTGTCAGCCAGAGAGCAGCAGGTGGGAAAGAAGTGGCAGTCTCAAGGCCCCTTGGACCTGAATGGGGATGCTCGTAAAAGAATTGAACCTGAGGATTGAACCCAGAGCCTTACACATGCTAGTAAAGTGCTCTACCACTGAGCTACGTCCCCACATCCAAAAGGAGTCTCTTTGCCTTTAGAGGGACAGGATAGGCACAGTGGGAAAGAAGGTTTTTCAGTCTTAGATTTTGGACTATGTTATGCCCCTGTAGTTTTCTGTTTCCTGCCAACTGGACACAACTGGACCCCTACCCCACCCCCTCTACAGGTTCTGTGAGACAAGGAGAAAGAATTATTTGGCCTCTGGAAGAGCCTTTGGCCAAAGAAGGGACAATGTGAATGGGACTGCCTGGGGAGGGCCAGCTGGAGGAGGCACCACAGAGTCTGCTGTCCCTCAGAACAGCCTGACTGCCTGTGGGGATGGGTAGAGTGCCCAAGGGAGAAAGAGGGTCCTTTAAGGACCTTGTCAACTGTATCTGGCTCCAGTCCAGTTGAGCCTTGACTATCCCAGGGTCCTAACTGTAAGGCAAAGTTCTGCCCCCCACTCACTCTTGACTCCACTCAACTGGGTCTACCTTGAGACCAAACATTTTCTGGGTGTACTTTTACATGGAGCTCATCAGGCATTATTCTCAAGGGTCCTTGTGAGTGTGGGTTCTCCCTGAGAGTCTATGAGCAGCTGGGCAATGGCTGAGGCTCCAGAAGCCTTGATCCTGGTCTAGATTCTATGTCCCTATGCACATCTTCCTTCCCTCTGCCCCAAGACCCTTGGAGGGGTTTCCAGTCCAATGTCAGCTCAAGGATACTTACTGAGGTTAAAGGTGTGTAGAGAGTTCCACCAAGCTGTCTAGACTGAGAGGCCAAGCCTCTTCAGTCACCCAGCCCGTAGGACCTCGCTCCTATAGGAAAGTGGCATATGGCTTCCTAGAATAGGATGAGGAGTGAAAGCATTTATGATGAATTTGCTTTTATGGGACACACAGACATTTTATTTCAGATGAGATCGGGCACATTCAGGTTGGTATGGCTATAGGTAGAAATTTCATTTCATTTCATGGAGTCCCAGGTCCTAGTAGACTCAAAGGAACAGCAGAACTATCATGTTATTACAGATAGCTCCAAAACAAGCTTTGTTATTCTTTAGGGTTGGATGTCTAGAGTTAGGGCAACTGAGTCCTCAGGCCAGGACTTTGCATGTCTTTTATGAAATGCAGAAAGAACGGCAGGCCCCCAGCTTCTATGATACTCCTTGTTCCCTCCCCAGGTCTACTTTACTTCTTTATGCAGACACCTTTCTTTCCTGGGCCTTGAATTCCCATTCTAAAATATGAAAGCAACACAAAGAACTCTTTAAATAAAGTCTTTCTGCCCCAACATTTGATTTCTCTGATTCAGAACTCCTCAAAGACAGCAAATGTGGAGCTCCCTGCCGGGGCCAGAGCCAATGGGGTACTGGCAGGTCTTCTACCTTCTGAAGACAAGGAGCTCCATCAGCCCAGGATTCCTCCTAATCTAACATGTAAGAGCAAGACCTAGAGAAAGCAGGACTTGGGGCCAGGATGCAGAGCTTCACAACAGCCTGGAGAGAGCTGGTGGGAGGACTCATTATTCTAGTTCAGTCCCATGCCCACGTGCAGGTGGAACTTGTCATTTCCTCTCTAATTTAGAAAGCTGACTCTCCCCCTCTCCTTCCCAGGGAAGAAATCCAAACCCAAAGAAGGAGAAATATCTCATTTCTAAGAAGAGAGACAAAGGAAGTTTATGGTCCAGGAAAGGATGGAGTTGGCCAGTGCCTCAGAACCAAGGGAAGTTCGCCCACACAGCCTCCAGAGGATTTTTAAGGCTCTGAGCAAAAGCAGCTGCATTCTTGCTCCTCCTTACCATTTTTTTCTGGAGCAGCAGCTCCCTCTGGGGGACAGGACCCTTCCTGTTTGACAAATGCGATCTTACACTTCTTCTCCCCTCCCTGTCTTCCCTTACCCCTTCTTCCTTTCTCTCTCCTTTCCCCCTCTCTTTTCAGAGAACGTGGGTTGAATACGTATTGTATGCCTGGCACTGTGCTAGGAGCTACAGAAACTACAAAAAGATCTAGATTTGAAGGCTTGATGGGTAGGACTTAGTTGAACAGAAGGAAGGAGAGAGGACTTTTAGAGCTGGGAGGACAAAAGTAAATGCCATGGACACAACCATGCCAATCAGGGACAGGTCTGGCTCCATGGAACCCAAGTTCCATTGGGAAAGGGAGAGAACCGTAGTTGTAGTGTGGCTGAGAGCAGATCAAGGAGGGCCTTAAATACAGAGTCAGGGAGTTGGGTCTCAATATAATGCTGATCCTGCAGCATTTTGTTCAGAGGTGGAGTTTGGGTTTAAAGAGGAAGGAGACTGAAGTGATCGTCAAACATGGAGCCATGAGGATCTAGATCAGAGTCCAACAGTAGGAGAAGAGAGAAAGAGAAAAAGGCTGAGAATTACTGCCTGACTAGATTTGAGGCATGAAGGAGAGAAGGAGTCCAAGATGGTATATTTTGATCTTAGGAATTCGAGAGAATGCTGGTGGTATATACAAAACCAGGAGTATTGGAGGGAAAGGCAGGTTTTAGGGAATGGGATACATGGGTTTTGTTTGTTTATTTGTTTGTTTTGTGTGTGTGTTTTCTTTTGGTGGTACTGGGGATTGAAACTTGGGTTACTCTACTACATCCCCATCCCTTTTATTTTATTTTTTGGTACCAGGGATTGAACCTAGGGGTACTTAACCACTGAGCCACATCCCCAGTCCTTTTTATCCATTTATTATCTTTTTATGGTCTCCTTAAGTTGCTTATGGTATCACTAAGTTGCTGAGGCTGGCTTTTAACTTGTGATTCTCCTGCCTCAGTCTCCCAAATCACTGAGATTGTGGGTGTGCTCCACCATGCCCTTTTACTTTTGATTTTGAGGCAAGGTCTCACTAAATTGCTGAGGCTGGCCTGGAACTTGCCATTCTCCTGCCTCAGCCCTGAGTTGCTGGGATTACAGGCATGTGCCACCATGCCCAGCTAAGATCATTTCTTTATGACCGCAAAACCAAACCCATGCCAAACGCATTGGTGCATACCTGTAATCCCAGCTATTCTGGAAGCTGAGGCAGGAAAATCACAAATTCAAGGATAGCCCAGGAAGCTTAGTGAGACCCGGTGGTTTCAATATAAAAAACAAAAGTACTGGGAATGTGGCTCAGTCGTAGAGCACCCCTGAGTTCAATCCCCAGTACGAAAAGAAAGGAAGGAAGGAAGGAAGGAAGGAAGGAAGGAAGGAGAAAGAAAGGCAGGCACAATAGCTCACGCCTGTAATCCCAGTGGCTCAGGAGGCTGAGACAGGAGGATCATGGGTTCAAAGCCAGCCTCAGCAATAGCAGGGTGCTAAGTAACTCAAGGAGACCCTGTCTCTAAATAAAATACAAAATAGGGCTGGGGATGTGGCTCTGTGGCCAAATGCCCCTGAGTTCAATCCCTGGTAGAGAGAGAGAGACCTACAAAACAACAACAACAACAACAAGTAGACATGGGCACATGCTGTATGCAGTCTTAGAGCTTTCTGTGGTTAGAAATGTAGATCACAATTGCCATTGTACAGGCTGGGCTGTCAAAAAGGAAGGGAGAGTGTTTCTGCAGCTGGAGGGGATATGGGCTGGTGGCCTTGGCCATCTCCCAAAGAGCTGAGGTCCAGGGCTCCACAGGAGATATTTGTGTTAGAGAGGTAGAAGTCAGGTTCCTACTAAGGGCCTAGAGTTCCCTTGGAGCAGCCTTGTGTGGGGGCTCCTCCCTTGGTACACAACCAGGCCCTGGTTAGTGCCCCAGGCAGGAGGGTGATCAGTGCCTCAAGATTGGAGGGGCCTCCTGTTGGTCTGAGCAATCTGGGTCCCTCGGGGCTCCTGCTGGATTAACTGCTTTGTTTTTTCTCCTCTTCTTCACTCTCCCAGCTGGTTTGCCTTGCTCTTTAACCAACTTTAACATATTAATAGTGGGTGTTCTCCAAGCCACCTGTCTTCTTCTTAGCTTGTGAAGGGAATTTCCAGGAACGAGGCTCTCCTTCTCAAAAGGCGGAGAGTGGAAGCAGGAGCTGCCCGCAGCCTGGTGTGCTGGAGCTGCCCGCAGCCTGGTGTGCTGTGTGCTGGGGAATTGGCAAAGGCTCCTTCTGAGGACAGAGACTCCAGTGCCCCAGGCACACCTCTCTCCCAGCTCAGCCCCAAGGACCTCCTTCCTGCCTAACCATTTTTCTGGACTCTGCTGCCTTTAACCAGCTCTTGGTTTCAGATACATTGGTGTCCAGTGGTGAGGCCACTTGCTAACTGGAGCAAGCCAACTAAGACAGCTGGTTCCTTTTAATAGAAAGGCCTCCGGGGCCCCAGATGGTGGCCGATTAATACTTTGCGACTGTTGTTGATTTTGCCTCATCCTCTCTTTGCTTTTTTGGCCTAATGATTCCATTTGCTGTTTTTGCTTAGCTTATCAAGCAACCGGTTGTCTCACCCCAGCTCTGGAAGGTAAATGCACATTGCATTACATTTCTCGGACTGCTTTTTTCTTGGGTCTGGGCCTTGAGGGGCCAATGGGTGACTGCTTGTGCGCTAACCAGACTGCATGGGTTGAGGGGAGGGTGGGAGGTGAGAGGGTACTCACGTGAGCATGGACAGGAACCAGAGATGATGCTTGCATGGGCCATTTCAAAGGGGCACAGAGACCCAGGAATAGAGATATGGGCAGGGCTCTCAGATGCCTGCAGTGACCTCTCTTTGCCTTTGGGACAGATACCATGAGAACAGAGCAGAGAGCCACCAGTCACATGACCCACTCCTTCCTCATCCTAAGTTTTCATGTTTTTTGTAACTACATATCTAGGTTTGACACCTTATTCATCTTCTAACCATGGCTCCTGCCTTTAACATTTATATTTTCCCACAGTCCCTTAAGTTCTTCTTTCACCTTCTCTTTCTCTGATTTTTTCCTTTTCTTGACTCCTCTCCGCTGCTGCAGACTGTGAACTCCGTGAAATCAGAGAATATCATATTACTGTATTCCTGCATTAGCTTGTTCTCAACCTGCTGCAGAGCCAGGGCAGGGCCTGAGCAAGTCCACGGTTGATGTTTACTAGTGGAAAGACTGTTTGTCCTCTTGCCTCCCAAGCTGGGGACAACTCTCTACCCCTGTCTAAACTATTACCATCACAGTGGGAACATTTCCTGGCTACTTCCCGCCCCATGGCCCCATCCCAGACTCCAGAAGATTCAGGGAGAGTGGCTACCTTTTCATGACAGAGGATGTTTTCTGAGTAGCTAACCATGTCTACAGGCATGGTTAGTGCCTACTAAGCACATGTCCTTGATGTTGATGAACATCGAGGAGACTTTGTTCTGGGTGGCTTAGGGTTGGAAAAGAGTATATCCCAACTGATTCAAAGAGTGTGGAAGTGCTGAAAGAGAAAGGATCTGGGGTTTATTCAAAGCAAGGTACCTACCAAATCTAAGAGCAAGGTTAGGTTCCATTGAACATCATGAAAACCAACGATTCCGATGTTCTTTGGAGACATGTGATCAGTGAGTGATGTCCTTATGAAGTCATGGAGTGGGAAAGATTCAGAGATGTCAGGTTTGGAAAGATCATTCCCAGATGTGCACAGACCTCCTGGCTTTCTAGGGGACCTGATGGAGCACACTCAGTCCATGCACATCTGAATGGTTTGGAGGATAGGAACAAGAAGCTGTAGACATTCAGCAGAATATGACAGTGTATACAGTGATTTTCCCTGTCTCCCCAGATGCATCCCAAACCCACTTCCCTAGAGGGAGGGCTTTCTAGCCACACTTAGTTTACCTATGGTTTTCTAATATAAACTATTTTTTTAAAAGATAGAGGAGAGAGAGAGAATTTTTTTTTAATATTTATTTTTTAGTTTTCGGCAGACACAACATCTTTGTATGTGGTGCTGAGGATCGAACCCGGGCCGCACGCATGACAGGCGAGCGCGCCACCACTTGATCCACATCCCCAGCCCTAATATAAACGATTTTATGATATAGTTTAGGTCTTTGTGAGGAAAATTCAAGAAAAGTTTTTATTCCATTCAAAATGAGTCTAGCATGAGCACTTATCTCTGCAAATTTTCTTGAAGCAGTTTTTTTACTTATCCAGTAGTGAAATGATTTTCTTAGACTTGCCCAAGAGCTTTCTCCCTAAGAGTCTAAGCAGAATATTAGATCCAGACTTGTACACAGATGAGATAGGATATAAATTCTGTAGGGGGTCATACTTAGGGATGTTTTGAATTAGTTCCAGAATCATAGACATTGAATTACATTTGGCCTGGAATTTTCTAGAAAGTGTTAATGGAAGTTTGGTATTTTCCCAGTCAGAAATTGCTATCAGTATGACAGCAGCAAGAAACATTTCTAGATGTTAATATTTTCTGAGTGTTCAGAGAGTTGATAGCTTCGGTCTCAAAAGACACTCTGTTTGAGTGACTTAGCTTATCTGACAGGTGAGTTCTAGATGAGAGGGTACTGCAGAGAATGTTCAGAATGCATCTGACTGCAGCTGTGCAGTGTGCAGGTGTGTGAGAAGTTGGGATCCCCATCCTCAATAGAATTTTTGGGGGGAGGCCTCCTGTCAACTCCCTGAATGCCCCAGTGTCTGTGGAAAAGCTACAGTAGACCCCCATCAATCCAGAAGTCTTTTTTGATTTGAGATGCTCTTCCTGGGTCTCAACCTTTCTCCTCAAACTCAAGTCCAGAACAATATTCACAGAAAAGATACACTGAATGTAGAGCTCTTCCCTGAAAAGTACTTAGGTTGCTTGTGCTCCCATAAACTCACTCCACCCCTGATGGAGAGTCGTAGACAGATGACCGTTGCCCTTGGGGGACCACCTCTTCCTCCGAGACCTGGAAAAAAGCACCTTTGAATGTTTGTCTTCCTCCACAGTTCCTCCTGCTCTGCCTACTCTTTCCCCTCATTGTCCGTGCTGCTCACAGAGGGTGTGTGCCTGGGAGGGGGAGGGGAGCTGGGCACAGCTTGAGCACCACACCACCTGTCTATGTGGTTACGCTTCATGCCTGGGAACGCACTGTGTCTGCTGGCCCGTGAAAGGGGTTGGCACTGTGGTTTGGTTTGCTTCCTGTGTCCAGGAAAGAGTGGACCGTAAGCCTTGAGCAGTTTTGGTGAGTTTGTTCTGAACTCAGTAAGCCCATGGGTGACCCTGAATTCTGGGAGATGGACCATCACAGGGGCACTAAGAGTCTCTGGCTTTTGCAAGAGTGGGTCTGTTTGGCTTGGCAGCCCGCTGGTTGGTCCTGGATCTGCCAGCCCTGTTTTCACTTCAGCATGGGGTGTCCAGGGATGGAACAGGAGACTCACCCCTGGCTTTCCAGTGCTGGTCCAAGGCCCTGTTTGGGGACCAGGAGCCTATGGGCAGCAGCCTGCCTGTTGTGATGGGTGTGGGTCAAGATTTCATCCAACACCTTGGTACCATCCCTACCCCACCTGGCCAAGAGGCCCAGGCTTCCTTGAAGAAAAAAAGGGCTGGAGCTCTGGCCATAGGATGACAGACAGACATGGTAAGATTTAAGCTGTCCTGAACAAGTTCAGGCTATGGTAAGTTTCCTGGGGGAGGGCCGCTCTGAACAGCTTTTTGCCTTTCCTAGGAGCACCTTCTGCTCCATCATTGCTCAGCTAACAGAGGAGACCCAGCCACTATTCGAAACCACACTCAAGTCCCGGGCTGTGTCCGAGGACAGCGACGTCAGGTTCACCTGCATTGTCACAGGTAATGAGACTGTCTATGGTCCATGTCAAGGCCTCTGCATGGAGCAGGGTCCAGGGTGGCTGGGGGGACAGGTGTGGCGGGGTGATGGGTCATGTGTACAAAACTGTGCAAGTTGACATTTGCTTTCCAGCTTTGTCTCCAGTTTGATCTCTCTGTGTGGGCAAGTGTCCCTTTGGAGTCCCATATATACACTGTTATTCTTCAAAATCTGTCCTTAGTAAAGTTTCCTCACCCTCAGGCATACTTACATCCTTGATGAGTTGATCTTTGAAGCCATCTCTCTGAATGCCCCATTTTCACAGTTGAGTAGTTTATGGCTTGCAAGTATCAAGCCTGAGAGGCAATGATGTGGTAATTCTGATTGCAGATCCTAGAGGCAAACTGCCTGACTTGGAATCCTGGCTCAGCTCCTTTGTAGTATATGGTATTAAGTAGCTTTATATCACTTCTTAGCTGCCTCATCTGAAAAGTGGGAACAATAATACAATGAATTTCATAGGATTGTAAAACTGAGTTAATACATGCAAAGCATTTGGAACAGTACCTGGCATACAAGTAAGTACTATGCAAGTTTTAGGAATTAAGACTACGGTTGTTTGTATTTCACTGAGCTCCATGGTAGAATTTGGAGTAATTTTGGCAAACTAGGAAGCAGAGTGATACCCTTAGAAGGGGAGAATGGGAGCTGGGAGCACTGGGAAGTTGGCTCCAGGAGTCATTCCCTCCCCTCACCAAAGCACAGCCTAGTTGCAGAGACTGACCTGCTTCAGGGCCTGCAGAATATCCACCTCCATGGGTCTCTACCCCTCCCAGCTACACAGCCACCAGGTCAAGGGTTCCTATCCCAGCTTCCTTTGAGAGCCCATTTTCTCAGTTAGTCAAGGGCATGGGTGATTTCCAGCTGTGACATTTCCTGATTCTGGGGCATTCATCTACCCCACCCAGCTAAACAGCTTCTTTGGAATTAGGATTCCCATAGGCAGTTCTCTGCCTTCCCTAGAACCCTGCAGCACCAGGCTGAGAACACTGCTCAAGGGACAGAATTACCTGTATCCCCTACCTGGGCCCAGCACAGTGCATTTTGCAATATTTGTTTCCATTGTCATTGAAACCTTGCAAAACCCTGTGAAGTAAGTGCTATTATTAGTTCAGTTTTGCAGAGTTGAAAACTGCTTGGGTGACCTGTCTAGTTCCACAGGACTGGTGAGAAGGAGGTCCTGCTTTTTCTCTGCAGTATCCACACCTGCATTTCCTTGCCACTTCAGCACTTAACAGTTTTCTAGAATAATCCGGTTCTTTCACCACTCTGTGGTTTCTTCTTTATTTAGGATGTTGATAATCCCTATTTTTGAAGAAAATTAAATTTTATCAAATTAATGCATGCATGTAGTTCAAATTATTACTAAAAAACATTACCATAACAGTTCATGCCTCCCACAGATTTGTCTTCCCAGAAGCAACCATTTGTAGCTTTTAGTGGTCTTTTACAGCCTGTATACATTTCCACAGTGCTGAGTAATAAGTAAATACTTCTAACTCTTGAGTCTTTTTGTGTGTGTGTGGTACTGGGAATTGTACCTGGGGATACTCTACCAGTAAGCTCTGTCCCCAGCTCTTTTTAAAATTTTATTTTGAGACAGGATCTTGCCAGTTTGCCAGGTTGGATTCAAACTTGTGGTCCTTCTACCTTAGCCTCCTGAGTAGCTGGGACTATAGGAGTAAGACATTGCACCCTGCCAGAAATTATCTTTTATATCTTCATTTTCTCTATTTCCCTTTTTTGTCTCTTCCATATAGTTATAATGTGATTTTGCTTAAATCAATATTTACTGTTTCCCTTATTATGCCTTTGTGCTATGAGTCATAACTGAATATTGTAGTACATAATGTTATACTATAATAGTGTACTATGTTATAATCACACTGCCAATGATTATATACATTGTATATACACTATATGAGCATGTATACATAACATAATAATTATGTATACATTGTAGACTGTAATCATACTGTAGGTGATTATATTTTCTCTGTTTTTCCTGAAGTTAGTGCTTTCCTTAGTTTTTTATTTGTTTAGTTTTTTGGTATTTCTAATGTTTTATTTTTCTTTTTGTTTTTGCTTTTTGGTACTGGGGCTTGAATCCAAAGACACTTTACTACTGAGCTAAATCCCCACCATCCTCCCTTTTTTTTTTTTTTTTTTTGGTGGTGCTGGTATTGAACCTGGCCAGGACCTTGTACATGCAAGGCAAGCACTCTCCAACTGAGCTATACCCCCATTACCCCCCATCCTTTTATTTTGGGGGGACATGGTCTCATTAAGTTGCTGAGGTTGGCCTTGAATTTGTGAATGTTCTGTCTCAGGCTCCTGAGTAGCTGGGTTATGGTGCACATCACAAGTCCCAGGTTTTTTATTTGATGGTAGGAGGAGATGTGGTCTCACTATGTTCTTAGGTTGGGTTCAGACTCCAGGATAGGTGCATGCCCACATGCCCAACAGCTAATTTTTCTTATACTTCTTAATATAAATATTAGTTGTAGATGGACACAAAACCTTTATTTTTTTAAATAATTCTCCTTAGCCCTCTCTTTTTGAAAGAGAGAGAAAGAGAATTTTTTTAAAAATATTTTTTATTTTTTAATTTTCAGCGGACACAACATCTTTGTATGTGGTGCTGAGGACTGAACCCAGGCCGCACGCACGCCAGGCGAGCACGCTACTGCTTGAGCCACATACCCAGCCCCTATTTTTATTTATTTATCTTTTTATGTGGTGCTGAGGACCAAACCCAGGGCCTCACATATGCTAGGCAAGCACTCTACTACCAAGCTACAACCCCAGCCCCTAAGAACTTCTTTTTTTTTATAACTTTATTTTTTTATTTTTATGTGGTGCTGAGGATCGAATCCAGGCCTCACATGTGCTAGGCAAGTGCTCTACTGCTGAGCTACATTTTTCTCTTTCTTGATTACATTCTGGTTTGGGTAGTTTCCTAGAAATAGTGCATGGGAAGTAAATGTTGGACTTTCTGTAAAAAATGTCTCTTTTACTACTTTATGCTTGGTTGAAAGTTTGGCTGGCTATAGAATTCTAAGTTGAAGATACTTTTCCTTCAGAATTTTAGACACTACCCTCTTATCCTCTTGCTTCCAATGTTGCTGCTCAAAGTAGGAAGACAGTTTGCTCCTAATTCTTTGCATGTGACTGTTTTCTCTTTCTGGAAACTTGTAAGAGTGTTATGATATTTCATAATGATGTATTTTGATATGGGTCTCTTCATCCTGCAACACACTTGGATGCTTTTAGTCGGAAACTGAGAGCCTTTGTTTCTTGGAAATGTGGGTTTGTTTTGATGTTGATTATGTTGATTTCCTTTTATTTATTTATTTTTTGGTGGTGCTGGAGATGGAATCTAGGGACTTGCATGTGCTGGGCAAGCACTCTACCACTGAACTACATCCCCAGCCCCTTGATGTTGATTTCTTACTCCTTGTTTCTCTATTCTTGCTTCTCCTGTGGAATTACTCTCTTCTTATTATTTTATTTTTTAATCATATTATTATTATTATTATTACTATTACATTGCTGGGGTAGAACATGCTGGGCAAGTGCTCTACCAAAGAATTATACCCCCAGCCCTTGTTCTGTTTTCTTATCCTCTCTCCTTTCATCTGTCTTTTGTTCTACTTTCTGGGAGATTTCCTCTGTTTTTGTTTTGTTTTGTTTTTTACTTTTGGTCCTAGGGACTTATCCCAGGGGTGCTTTATCACTCACTGAGCTACAACCCTGTCCTTTTTAAAAATTTTTTATTTTGAGACAAGATCTTGCTAGGTTGCTGAAGATCTCACTAAGTTGCCAAGGCTGGTCTCTAACTTGCAATTCTCCTGCCTCAGCCTCCTGAGACACTGGGATTATAGCCACGGACAACCATACCAGGCCCATTCTGCCTTTTAACCTAGGAGCCTACTGCTTCTTTGCCTGGCAAATTCTTCTTCTCCTTTAAGGTCCAGCTCAAAGCCTGATCCCCTGGAAAGTCATCTCCAGCACTTCCAGGGGAGCCCCTGCTCCATGGCACAGCTTGTTCACACTTCTGCTTCCAAGAAGATCATGAGATCTGCAAGGACAGGTCACCCCCTGTCACTTCGTGCTTCTCTGGACCTGGTACAAAGAAAACGTTCAGTATTTTATATATTTGCTAGATGACCACAGTGAACCTTGACTTGTGCTGATGTCAAAATTAGTATCTTCTCTACTTTCCACATTGTCTGTTTACCTCAGCTGTGGCTTGGATGCTGTGGTAACAGCAGCTGCTCTGTCTGGGGACCACTCAAGAGGAGCAAGCATCAGGCATAGCTCCCCCTTCTTTCCTGTCCTTTGAAGTCATGAACTCTGAGAGAAGTGTAGAGATGTCAGAAATTCATCTAGCATACATACTGGCATATATAATCTTGGGTCATTATATTGAAAACTCCCAATGTCATTATGAAACTAAGTTTTTCCTTTTTCAAGCCCAATCCAAATAATCAAATTATTTATTTATTTATTCATTTCAGTTGGGGATCAAACCCAAGGCCTTATGCATGCTAGGCAAGCACCCTACCACTGACCTATATCCCTAACCCTTTTTAAATTTTGAGACAGAGCCTTGCTAAATTACCCAGGCTGGCCTCAAACTTGCAATGTCCTTATCTCAGCTGTGCTGAGTAGCTGGGATTATAGGCATGTGCCATCACACCTGGCCAGTAGAAAACTTTTATACCTTATCTTGTGACCACCAGTCAGGGCCTTCTGCTCTGGAGCACCTGCCTGCTAAGATCTAAGTCACTACCAATTGAGTCTGCAGTTTCTAAGGTTCTGGCTGTCTTTCATATCCACCCCTTAGTCCATTGTTTCACTTTCCCTTTACCTGTCCCCACAAACATCCAAAATCTCAGGTTATGCTGGGAGAGGATAGCATATGCTTTATAATCCCAGAAACTCAGGTAGTCTAAGGCAG